TCACATAAAATAGACATTTTTATTTATTAAACTTAACATTTTTTATAATGTTACAAAAAAATTATTTTCTAAAGTTTTAATAGTTGGTTAAATTTTTAAATACAATGCTAAATAAGTAACATATGCTTGACTGGCTCAACACTTGATTTCAGAGCTTATTATTTACAATGGAAACCTTTACAATGGAATCCTTTACAACGAAATGATTTATTATTACCTATTTGAGAGCGGTTCAAAGAATTAGAATCTTTTTAAAAACATTTTAGGCATATCGAATGATCTAAAAACAAATTGGTCTCTTCGCCCTTTAAATTCATTCGCGTATACAAATTTACCAATGGATTATTTCTGACAATAATTATTATAATATTGAAAACTGTTCATAAGGCCAAACTTTATTCTCGTGTGTTATTTAAAAAATGTTTTTTCTTTTATTTCATTTTATTAAAAAGCATGTTAAATTTGAGATTAAAACTTTATCATGAATTTAAATAGTTTTTCAAAAAATCAAAGGAGCAACATATACTTTCCAATTATACAAGGTTCTCTAAAAAAGTAATACAATATCAAAGTTTTCCGTACTAATTTTAAAGACGTGTATAGTGCAAAAGAAACATTTGAAAACCATTTTTTTGGAGTAAATGGTTTTCATTATTATTCAAAAATGTTTACCGATGTACTACTTTTTTAATTTTAAACAAATCTTTATAGGGTACATCAGTACGGAAATACATAATTTTCCCATTTTCTTTAATTGTATTTTATATCACCATTTAAAAGAACGTTTCTTAATTTGAGTTAAGCATTCTCTATACCTAAAACTAATAATTTTGGGAGATTTTTAAATCTAAATGACAAAAAAGATAATTCACAAAATAGTTTAATTTTAACTGGTCACTGGTTGACTGGAAATAGACTGTGTGTTAATTAGTTATTAGAATTTTACTAGCTGTAATTTATTGATTGAAATTTTTTTTTACAATATTCTTAAAATTTAATAACTATTTAGGAAAAATGTGTTTATTGGAATCGTAAAAATATTATTATTTTAAAAGATATTTTTTATTAAATATGTGTAAAATATTTTTATTAAAACGATAATTTAAATAAATACATAAGAAATAGTAATAAAAAAATGAAAAAGAAAATTTCAAATAAATGGTTAAATATTATTAAAATTTATAAAGTACTAACTAGTAACTACCTATTTGTGACAAATGTGTTTATTGGTTTCGTATATGTTATTGTTCTTTTTCAGCGAATAAAAGTAAAAATGTTTTTATCGAGACAAAAAATGTATCGAATACATAAAATAAAGAGCAATAAAGCAATTTTAAATTTAGAATGAGGATATATAATGCTTGGCATTCTATATTATACTCTTCACAGTTTAACAGACCCTCTTAACCAGCGATTATTTTATAAACATTTTTTTTTTTGGGAATAAATAGGCTTCCCAATTTTTATTTAGATTTTTTCTTTTAGTAATTAATAGGCTTTATCTCCTTATAGAGCTTGATTTTTATTAAACATTTCAAGTTGATATAATACTTCTTTTAGATGAATGATAATGTCGCTTTTTGATTTTTTGAAAAATTATTTAAATTTATGAAAAAGTTTGTGTTAACTGGTAGTCATAGAATGGAATAAAAATTTTTTTTTTTAAATAACACACGAGAATAAAGTTTGGCCTTACCTCGGAAACTGTTTACCAGAACAATTTCTAGATTTTTCAACAAAATCGTTGGAATAAAATATGTTTAATTTTGTAACTTACCGCTATATCTCGCGATAAAGGTATATTTTTTAAAAAATATAATTGTTTTTCACAAAAAAAGTTTGATGTGTTTCATTATTTGTCAGGTGTAACGAAAAGAAAACATGTAAATATGTTTAGTTTTGAAAAAACTTCGTAGGAAAATTAATGATTCCACGTCGTTTATATATATATACTAAAAGTTAGTCATTTTTCAAATATTTAAAAAAAAAACTCTGTTTCTTGTACCCAAAGCGGCTTTTTATTGACACTTTAAAGACTTAGAAAGATATATTTTTACTGCCTAGGCAGAAAAAACAGACTTAATATGTAACGTTCCAGGTAATAAGTTAATTCAAACGGAAAGTTGATGGAATAATATTTATCGGCGGATACGAATGACTTCAAAGACCTAAAAATTATGTTGGAGTTCTTGCTATTTAATGATTTTGATTTAATTAATTGAAAGTAGTGTACTGAATTGGTAGTATAAGAATTGTATTTGTAATTTTGGGCTAAATGTGTTTTCCCCTCTCTGCTCCCATAGTTGTTTGGCGGCAAAAACCTGACTTTAAAAGAAAAAAATATATATTTTGAATCATTATTAGTCTTAATGTTTTGTTTAATCGGTTAATCGGTATAAAAATTATATTTTGTTTTAAATAATATTTTAAACTGAATTAATGATTTTTTCAATAAAAATGATAATTTTTATTTATTTTTTAACTTTCATGACACTAAAGTCCATCTAAACCAAAGATTTCAGCGAATAACAATATTGAAATTTTCAAGCATCGTCGCCCAGTTTGTCCGCTAATTTCTCCTAGCTTATGCCTTATACGATTTTTAATTTTATCAACATTGGCAGACAAATCTGTGCAAATTTTTATACAAAACAAATCTGTTCCTCACAGATTACAGTTTAAAAAGTGACATAATAAGTGTACCTAATTTAACCAGTATATTTCAAAAGATATAATAAAAATAGCTTTAAAAACACATGTTATTTTCTCGGAAGTAAATCGCAAGGGCGCCTCATCCTAGTAAAAGTATGTTACAGAATCTATAAAAATGAAAAGACTGAGTTATAAACCAATATAAGATCTGGCAACAACGAAATGGATGCCATCAAACCGAAAACGGAATATACAGAGGCCACCAGGTACTCAAAATGAATATGTATATCATTGGATGCCATTACCTCCTTTAAATATATCTCAGAATATACAGCACACGAAAGTGGCGGCAGTTGCGGTCATTGCTCAAACTACCATGTTTAAAAACATACAAAAATAGGCTGTTTTGGCATCCCGCCAATATTTTGCCGAGAGTTAGTAGGGGTAGGATCCTTTCATTTGCGATGAGTTTCATCGAAAGTCCTCGTGGCATCTGTATATCGGATGCCACGAGGACGTGGATGCCACGGCAGACGCAATTTTAACATGGAGGGATGCCACCAAGGCCTATAAATATATATATATATATATATATATATATATATATATATATATATATATATATATATATATATATATATATGTATCTTTCATTACATTACAAGAGACCTGCTTTTCCCAGGTTAAAGTGGATTAGGCCTATTGGGGACACCACTTAAAAAAAAACGCGCCGGGAACTCTACCTCTATGGTGGTGAGAAAACGGGTTCATATGTTTGTTAATATGTTTATTACTTATAATTTGCATACATTACATCTATACAAGTAACTTATTCGAATTGATTGCAGGTAATATTATGTATATAAAAACATAATATTTGCGCCTTCGGATATTTGGCTCACTAATAATATTTGCATCTTCGGATATTTGACTTGCTAATAATATTAATACATTGTTTATATGTTACATATTATTTATATTTCCTTAAACAAATAATGTTAAAATGACATAAATCCTGAATGATTAAATAAAATAAAAACATATTTTTGAGCTCAGGTACAAGCGTATACATTGTGACAGGCTTGTCATCACAAAGTCGATATAAAAAAAATGATCATAGTAACTTCGCAAAACTTCTATAGGGGACTAACAAACTCAAATCAAAGACAATAAGAAAAAATTAGAGAAATTAACGGAGGAAATATTAAATTACAGGGTGATATATCTTTTGAAATATATTTAGTTTATAAATTATATATTTTTGAAAATGGTTCAATGTCGACTACTGACTTGTATTACTAAATATATAAAATTGTTTTAAAAGTAACCTGCACAGTCGATCAACTTTTTGACTCAACCTGTATAAAATGTTTTTATACCTTCCTATAATAAGTACAACTAAAGTTAATTCAGACCAAATATTAATAATTTCATATTTCCACTCTAAAGAAGAATACACACCATCAATAATTTTTTTGGGTGATTTTTGAATAATAATAATAATAATAATAATAATAATAATAATAATAATAATAATAATAATAATAATAATAATATAACTTTATTCAATAATAAATTACATATATGAATCATATCTATATATACAATCAAAAAATATGATTCTTCCTAAAAAAGAAGTACCATAAAAATATAATATGATATAATAAAAATAACAAAAATAACAAATATTAAATAAAGTGGTGCGAAGCGGTAAGTATTAAATACTTGTATCGCTTTATAAAACAATTTAGGTAATAATAACAATAACAATACCAATACAGCTCATATAATTATTATTTTATAATAAAAAAAAATGAATGAATGAACAGAGGAAGCCACACTGAGTACCGGATATCCAGAAAATGAGAAGCTAAGGATAAACTTGACAGCTTCTCAGGCCCTGTATCAAATAATACTTTTTCTACACAATGCAATATTATTTGATGTTATCAGAATACTATTACAGCAAAAAATCCTTAATATATTGAGAAAATTACATTTTAATTTTTAAAAAATTGCCATTTTTCAACTTCATCAGCCTGTATGTTGAAAACTGGCCATAGGATTGAGTTTTGCCCATGGACACTATTGTTCAGGAAGTCGATAACTTCAACATACCAAAAATACAGGCATATTAACTGGAACCCATTTCTCCATAAGCCGGCTGCCTGGTCCTTTAGAAAGAGTTGATTGTATACGTGACATTCTGTATTAAGTGCAGTATGATTGGTTGAAACAGGGCTATTAGTTGTTTTATTATAATTGTGACAATTAATACAATATGCAATGGATCTCGGACAGTCTTTTAGTTGATTGTTTTGAGCGCATATAGGACACATAAAGATAGACTATTTACAAACTCTGGACGAATTATGGTAACCACAACATTTGAAACATCTCCTCAAATCAATTGCGTCATAGATGGAACAATAATCATTTTTATAGGTAGATATATCGCACTGAATAACTGCCTGATGAAGTTTGTTGTTTTTCTTAAGTGGAAAATGAGATATAACTGTTAGATCACCAACTATTTCATTTATATTTTGAATTTTGAGACAGTTAATTAGTTCTTCATCAGATAGTTGTTCAGACATACCAACAATTTTGAATCTAGGATTTAAAACTAGCACTTCCTTAATGGTATAATTATTATTTTTGAATTTATTGGAATCTTCTGAATTCTCACAGCTAACCACGAGTCCGCCATTTCCAGTGTGAACCACTTTTGAAAGACATACATTTGAAGAAACGGGATTAATATTTTTTACCATGTCATTGTTTGTTGAAGTAGAGTCTTGTTTGTTTTTCGGATTTTAAACGGTAAGTGTTCAAAAGTATTTTTTTTAACCATGTTGTAAGATTTACAGTTTTTCGTATTTTTTGAAAAATGATCTACAAATGAAATATGCTGTTTTTCAAATGACCGATTCACTTTTACTGGAACGGTCTTTATTCGGTGTGAATTTTTCAGTGCGATTCTAAATGGTGTTTACGATCAAACCCTATGGGACATTTTCACACGAACGGTTTTTTCTATTTTGTGAACTTTTAAGTACTTATTTAAATCGCCTTTCTGGATAAACTGTTTCGCACCTACTTTTTACATTTGAACGATTTTTCTCTAGTGTGAATTCTTAAATGCAACTTTAAATTGTTTTTCTGTGTAAACTGTTTCGAACATATTTCACATTTGAACGGTTTTTCTCCAGTGTGAATTCTTAAATGCAACTTTAAACTGCATTTCTCTGTAAACTGTTTTGAACATATTTCACATTTGAACGGTTTTTCTTTTAAGTGAATTTTTAAATGTCTTTTTAAATCGTCTTTCCGAATAAACTGTTTCGAACATATTTTACATTTGAACGGTTTTTCTCCAGTGTGAATTCTTAAATGCAACTTTAAACTGCCTTTCTCTGTAAACTGTTTTGAACATATTTCACATTTGAACGGTTTTTCTTCTAAGTGAATTTTTAAATGTCTTTTTAAATCGTCTTTCCGGATAAACTGTTTTGAACATATTTCACATTTGAACGACTTTTCTTCTGTGTGAATTTTTAAGTGCTTTTTTAAATTGTATTTTTGGGTAAACTTTTTCGAACATATTTCACATTTGAACGGTTTTTCTGAAGTGTGAATTCTTAAATGGATATTTAAACTGTTTTTCTGGATAAACTGTTTCGAACATATTCCACATTCGAACGATTTTTCTCTAGTGTGAATTCTTAAATGCAACTTTAAACTGCCTTTCTCTGTAAACTGTTTTGAACATATTTCACATTTGAACGATTTTTTTCCTGTGTGAATTTTTAAGTGCCTTTTTAAATTGGATCTTTGGGTAAACTTTTTCGAACATATTTCACATTCGAACGATTTTTCTCTAGTGTGAATTCTTAAATGCAACTTTAAACTGCCTTTCTCTGTAAACTGTTTTGAACATATTTCACATTTGAACAATTTTTCTCCTGTGTGAATTTTTAGGTGATTTTTTAAATTGGATGTTCGGGTAAAATTTTTCGAACATATTTCACATTTGAACGGTTTTTCTCCAGTGTGAATTCTTAAATGGATATTTAAACTGTTTTTCTGGATAAACTGTTTCGAACATATTCCACATTCGAACGATTTTTCTCTAGTGTGAATTCTTAAATGCAACTTTAAACTGCCTTTCTCTGTAAACTGTTTTGAACATATTTCACATTTAAACGATTTTTTTCCTGTGTGAATTTTTAAGTGCCTTTTTAAATTGAATCTTTGGTTAAACTTTTTCGAACATATTTCACATTCGAACGATTTTTCTCTAGTGTGAATTCTTAAATGCAACTTTAAACTGCCTTTTTTTGTAAACTGTTTTGAACATATTTCACATTTGAACAATTTTTCTCCTGTGTGAATTTTTAAATGTCTTTTTAAATTGCTTTTCTGGATAAACTGTTTCGAACATATTTCACATTTAAACGGTTTTTCTCTTATGTGAATTCTTAAATGGCTTTTTAAACTGCTTTTTTTGCTAAACTGTTTCAAACATAATTCACATTTGAAAAAAATTTTACGAGTATGTACTTTCAAATGATTATTTAAATTTCTTTCGATTGGAAATATTTTAAAACAAATTTTACACTGCAACAGTTTTTCATTGTAGTGGAATATAGTATTTGCTGCAGGTGGATGTCCGACTATGGGATGTAAACCATTTTTACCCCGACAATGTTTATGTTGTCCATATTTTCGGTCATAAACTTGTATAACTTTCTTCACACAATGAACAACAATAAAATGGTACAGACACTGTGACTTTGTAAGAAAAAACTGGCCGCAGTAGAAACAAGTTTCGCAGCATCTTCCAAAATGGACGTTGAACAGATTTTTTCTAGGCGACCTAAAAACTAAAACGAAAAGTATATTAATTTTAATGCGACATCTAATAGTACCGTTATTTTGTCGCGACACCGTGTACACGTGTTTACCTTATCGCTCTACATTAACACCCGTGTTTCTGTGGTTTTTATTTCAATTGATTTTATGAAACTTACTAATCGAGTTCCTAACGTGCATTTCATTGCCTCAGTAAAAAATAGTGCAAGTGCAGAAGCTGTAAGTTATAATAAGCCTTAATAACATAAAATTTACATCAATCTGCCAGCAAATCCGCAAAATTTTATCGACAAGTTTCTCTTATCACTGCACAAAAAGTAGATGGCAATGTCGACCTGTACTAATTGCTTTAAGGACAGAGTCTCCAAAGGATTTGCGGTCGAATTCTGTACTGCGGAACTGCCTAACCAGTAGTGCCTGTAGTCAAATATTTGGTAAAATAATCTACTCGTCAAAATGAATTATCGATCCGTTGAATTTGTTATTTGCTACACACGGAGTTATTAGCATAGAATCATTTCTATCTGGATACGGAAACGAGGAAAGATCAGTATTTTAGTTAAAAAAAATAATATGGTTATTATTTATTTTATTTAAATAGTAATTACAAAGCAATAAGCAATTATATAATTATTTATTTTTAATTTTTTTAAAAAACGAGTTTTTTATTTGTATTTATTAATTCTATAAACCTACATACTGGACTAGATCCATGTTTTCAAAAAAAGATAAATTTCATTTTTTAAAATACGATTAATACCATTAATAAAGGAATGGGCAGAGCTTAGGACTTTGGATTCGGCGATTCGGGTTTAAATCCCATAGTATTTGATGGCGTATATCGTTGACACCTGTGGAAATAAATATTTACCTCTTTATTGATTTTAAAATAATTTTTAACTCCATAAGATAGAAAAACAAATTGCTCTCATTTTCATTATTTTACAATAGATATAAGATACAAATTTAAAAAATACTGGGATTAAATTAAAATGATTTCACTTTCCGTAAGTAGGTATTAAGTACCTAAGTCTAGACAATTTATTATTATAATACTTATTATAAGACTTAGAGCAGGGATTCCCAACCTTTTTTGTGTATGTGTCTCCCTAGATTATAAAAATATATTCATGCCCCCCTTATAATTTTTTTTATTGTTATAATAAAAAACACATCAGTTTCACTACATTTATTTCTCAATAACAAGTACAATCAAATAAATTAAAACTTTGGTGTTCACTCCTAAAAATAATTACGTATTTCTCATTAAAAATTAAATAATAAAATTGTGTTAATGCGATATTTGCGCCTGAACCAATTGGTTGATGTCGGCTGTAGTTTTTGCCAAGGCAATGTCAAGTCCATACGGACGGCAAGACGATTTCGCTGCTTAGTTTTGATTTAAACCAATGCTGAAAAACCTGTTTCACATAAGTAAGTCAAGGAAAGCGACACAATTATTTGCAAAACATGAGAAGCAACTTTTGGATTAAGAAGGAAACGTTTTATCCAAAACGTCTCCAATGTCAAGAGGTGGAAGCCATCTTTCATAGTAGAATCAGCCTTCATTTCTAGAAATTCTGCCTGAATATCTTCTGGTAATTGGAAGACATCGACCACAAATTGATTTCTAGTAATAATGTCGCTATAATATAATTGTTCCCTGTAGTCGAGGAAAACATATTACATTTCTAGAAATTACTTTCTGGGACCAAAGTTGAAGCCTTGATATAAAGCCCTGAATATGATCGTAGTTACCAATCATAATTCCGTTTTTTCCATGAAGCTTCAAATTTAATTGATTCAGGGCTTCAAATACATCACTCAAATAGACTAATCACCATTGAAATTTTTCATCTTTGAACATTTACAGAAAGTCGTTTTTTTTTAAATCGAGAAATAAGATGACCTCTTCTTTCAGCTCATAAAGTCGTGCTAACATGTTGCCCTTAGACAACCAGCGTACTTCTGTATGGAAAAGAAGAACTTTGTGATTAGAATCAAGATACTCGCAAAGCACTGCTTTTAATGTAGTTCGCAATTTTTATTGCCAAGTCTAAACTCTGTCGTAAATTCTGAGTCAATGTTTTTGAGGCCAAAGCTTGGCGATGAATAACACAATGTCTGCTAAGCAGGGTGGGATTCTTACTTTAGCTTTTGAGCTAAGTCAGATCTTACACCTATCATAGCGGGGGCACACCATCTGTGCAGAGTCCAATGAGTTTATTCCAATCAAAATCATTTTTTTTTTTTTATAAAGTCAGATATTGAATTAAATATATCGTCAGATGTAGTACCAGCTGTCAAAGATTGCGAGTACAAAATCTCTTCTTCAATTTGATCTTTGTCGACGTAACGAACATAAACGATTAATTGTGCACAGTTAACGATGTCTGTAGATTCATCGCAAATAGCAAAAAATGGTGACAACTTTACTTTGTTTATAACACCGGCACACAAAAAAAAATTGTTTATACATCAGATACGACCTACCTACCGGCATATATTTTGACCCGCTGAATCCGAATTTCAAGTCAGTTTGGGCCGTCCAACCTTCAATATCGAGTAAATTGTAAAAATAAAATAATTAGTATTAAAAAAATTATGAATCGAAACCAAGCATAATTCTTATGTATTTCGGTCAGCTGAATACAAATCTGAAGTTTATTTAGATTATAAACCGTTCTAAATCATAGAAATTGTACAAAAACCTTGAAAAATGTTAAAAGTAGCAAAAAAAATTTTTACTAATACAACGACAATTTTTTGCTATTTCGTGAAATACAGGTACCTAGGTAATCTGCTAATATTATATTGTATATATTGTATATATTGTATATATTGTATATATTGTATATATTGTATATATTGTATATATTGTATATATTGTATATATTGT